CCTTGAGCATGCAAGGCAAGCGCTCTACCATTGAGCCACCTTCCCAGCCCAGTAACTAGGTTTATAGGTGTGAGCCTCCAATATCCCAATACCCAGCTTTTTTTTTTTCTTCTTCCTGAGACCAAATTTGAACTTTTTTTTTTTTTTTGTCAGTAGTGGGGCTTGAACTCTGAGTCTAGGCGCTGTCCCTTAGCTCTTCAGCTCAAGACGAGTGCTCTACCGCTTGAGCTACAGCGCCACTTCTGGTTTTCTGGTGGTTTATTGGAGGTAAGAGTTTCACAGACTTTTTCCGCTTGGGCTGGCTTTGAACTGAAATCCTCAGATCTCAGCTTCCTGAGTAGCTAGGATTACAGGCATGAGCCACTGATGCCCAGCCAGATTTGAGCTCTTGATCTGACACTTTTGCTCATTGGCTGACACTCTATCAATAGAGCCAGGCCTCCTACCTGCTTATTTTAGTTTTGGCCAATGTTGGGGGTTGAACTCAGAGCCTGGGCACTGTCTTATCTTTGAGCTTCTTTTGCTTAAGGCTAGTGCTCTACCACTTGAACATCCTTCTGGCTTTTTCTGTTTATGAGGTACTGAGGGCTTCATGCATGTTAGGCAAGCACTCTACCTCTAAGCCATATTCCCAGCCGACCTGGTTTTTTTGTACTAGTCCTGGACTTGAATTCAGGCCTTGAATTCAGGTGTCATCTCTGAGCTTTATTTTTATTTTTATTTTATTTTTGCTCAAAGCTAGTGCTTTGCCACTGGATCTACATCTCTACATCTGGCATTTTTGTAATTAATTGGATATAAAGAATTTCCCGACTTTCCTGCCCAGGCTGGCTTCAAACTATGATCTTTGGAACTCAGCCTTCTGAGAAGCTAGGATTACTGGTATGAGTCACCAGTGCCTGGCTGTTCTCATAGCGTTTGTAAAACAAAAAACATTAAAAAAAAAATCTAGTAAGTAGACCATATATAAGATGTAATTTAAAACAAAGGAGGAAGCAACAATGCTTGATAAGAAATGTACTCATTACATTGCTCATGTAATTGTAACCTCTCTACCATATTTTCACAATAAAAAACTTATTAATAATAAAAAGATGCAATTTGTCTGCGTATCATCTGCATAATAATTAAAGGAAAAAATATAATGTACAGTATCAATAATTCAAAATGGATAGGGTAGTTATAATGGAGTAGAATTCTTTTTTGAAATTGAAATTAAGTTATAAGAATGTTATTTCAGAATGTTTTATATAATTCCAAGGTAACCCCAAAGAAAATATCTACATAAAACAGACAAAAGGAAGTGAGAAGCGAATCCAAATGTCACTGCGATAAAAAAAAAAATCAACCATACACGGGGTTGGGAAGGTGGCTCAGTGGTAGAACACTTGCCTTGCTGGCATTGAACTCATTGATCCACTAATAGATAGGGTTTCGGGTATGACCCATCATTACCCCACGTCCTTTCAGGTTTCCAAAATAGGTAAGCCAGAAGCTGGGATCTGGTGGCTCATACCTGTAATCCTAGCAACTCTGGAAACTCAGGAAAGTCTGTGAGGCCCTTATCTCCTACTAACTACTAGAAAGTCGTAGGTGGTAGAATACTAGCCTTAAGCAAAAAGCTCTGGGACAGACAGGACCTAGGCTCAAAATTCAAGCCCAAGGACAAAAAAAAAAAAAGATAAGCTGGGCTCTGTAGTGTCTTGCCTGTAATCCTAACTATTCAGGAAGATGAGATCTGAAGATTATGGTTCAAAGCCAGCCCTGGCAGGAAAGATTGCTATACTCTTATCTTTAATTAACCAGCCAAAAAAAAAGCCAAAGGTGGAAACGTAGTTCAAGTGGTAGAGGACTAACTTTGGATGAAAAAGCTAAGGTGCCCAGGCCCTGTGTTAAAGTCCCCGGACAGGCATCTGAAAAAGAGAAGAAAAAAAAAAGGACTTTAGTCTTTAATCATCTTCTGGTTAAATTTTATTTTCAGTTTGGATTTTAATTATTATCATTTCCTTTTTTTCCCATTGTCCTTTTTTGTCCCCTGATAGCTTAGATTGGACTCTGCAACCATTGTTTCATGTTCTCTATTATCTGCTTATTTCACATCTGTGTTTGTTTATTTAGAAACATAATGTTCTTTGTTGCCCAGTCTGGTCTTGAACTCCTGAGCTCCAGTGCTGTGACTCAAGGCACATGCCACATCCGCCTCATAAGCTGTTTAATTTTGCAGATACCTCTAGAAGCCCTGCTTTTTCTGAATTGCACCATTTTTAGAGTATTTAGTTTCTGCATTCCTACTCTCTTACAAGACATTTTAGTTAATTAAGATGAATTTTCTAGCCAGGTGCTAGTGGCTCACCCCTGCACACCAAAAATAGTTCCTATTTGGTCCAGGTGTTTTACTTAGTATTTTGTGTGGGGGCTGGTCCTGGGGCTTGAACTCAGAGCCTGGGTGCTATCCCTGAGGTTTTTTTGCTCGAGGCTAGCGCTCTACCACTTGAGCCACAGCTCCACTTCAGCTTTTTTGGATGATTAATTGGAAGTAGTTACCACAGAATTTCCTGTCTCGTCTGGCTTCAAACTACAATCCTCAGATCTCAGCCTCCTGAGTAGGTAAGGAGAGTTACAGGCATGAGCCACCAGTGTCTAGGTGACCTTCTGTTTTAACTCTTACTGAGCATAATTTTATCTGATCATTGTAAAATGAGTGCTACTTTAGTCTTTGGTAACATCTCTCTTCCTATCTTTAATTTTTCAACTTCCTATGTCCATTTTGATGTGTTGTTTTGTTTTCTTGTTTGTTTGATGCTAGAGGTGGATCCCAGGGCCTTGCTCACAGTAGGCAACTGTTGTACCACTGAGCCACACCCCTAGCCCTGAGAACAACCACCTCACATAGAAGTGACATCTTAGATGGATTTAAAGATGTAGATTTTGAAGGGTTTCTCTCCCCTTTCCATTTTTTCCTTTTTATCTTCTCTTCCCCTCTTTCTCTCTTCTTCTCCCTGTTTCTTTTTCTCTCTAATAGCTCAGATTGGCCTAGAACTGATAGTCCTCCTGCCTTAGATTCCCAAATGCTGGTATTATAGGCGTGTACCACCATGCCCAGCAAGATTTGTTTTTCTGTTAAAAATACTAACTTATTGTGAATCTTGGAGTCTCTTTGTTAGTAGATGATATGTTCTTGTTCTTTAGAAATCACTTGAAGGCAGAATCAGCACTCCATAGAGCCTTTCAGACTAAGCTTTACACTTTAATTATTTGAAGTGTTCTCATATTATTTCTTCACATATTTTCCTTCTCCCTCTGTGGACCCTTTCATGCAGCTCATGGAACCCACTGCCATCCTCTCTGCCTCTCCTTTTCTTCTTCTTCTTCCTCCTCCTCTTCCTTCTCCTCCTTCTTTTCTTCTTCCTCCTCCTCCAACTTGAACTCTAGACCTAGGTGCTGTCCCTGAGCTTCTTTTGCTCAAGCCTAGTGATCAACCACTTAAACCATAGTGCCACTGGGTTTTTCTGAACAATTTATTAGATTAAAATGTCACGGACTTTCCTGCCTGGACTGGCATCAAACTGCAGTCCTCAAATCTCAGCCTTTTCTGAGTAGCTAGGATTACAGGCGTGAGCCACCAGCACCCAGCTACACTTGGTTCTTTTCAGTTCTTTGTAGCTGAATTTACAGGTGTGTTGTCACATGTATTTTCAAGTCTTGGGTTTCTCTTCCTGTTGGTGCTGGGCTTACTACTTCCGCATGGAAGCTGCTCCCACAGGCAGGTCTGCGTCTGCCTGTGCAGCAGATAATCTGCCAGTCAGTGCATGTTGCAGCCGAGCCAGTAGCCACCTGCCAGGCACCAGGCACCTACTCTCCCGTCAAGCTTGACCTTCAGTGCCTAGAGAGCCTCAGCTTGGGACCAGCCTGTCCTCACCTCACTGTCCACCCGCCTTACCTCAGCCTTGCTGAGAGCCAGGGCAGGCAGAGGATCGGCATCTGCTTCCCTCCCTTACCCAGCACTGCTTCTCCATCCATACATGCGCCCAGCTGGCCCAGCCCACGTAAAGCTCTACCTGGGGTCATCACATGTGGAGAAATCATTCTCTGCCCTCTGTGGTCTCTCCAGTGCCAAGCCAGCAAAATCCCCCATGATCTAGGCATCCTCCCCAACATTTCCACTCAGCTGCCGCTTTGTGTCCACAGGGGCTGCGGAAGAGGGAGCTGCTAAAGGAGCTGCTGCCGGTCATCGGGCAGAACCTCCGATTCCAGCGCCTCTTCACCGAGTGCCAGGAACAGCTGGACATCCTGAGGGACAAGTAGCCTGCCCTGGCTTGCCTCAGCTGCAGCGTGGACAGGGCCGTGCTCTCACTGCCGACAGTCGCCCAGGGCCAGCCACCCACCTGGCTGGGCTGCAGTGGGATGAGGAGACACTGGCAGGAGACACGCTGTCCCGGGCCAGTGCCAGACTGGGTGTGCCCTGTGTCCTGGGCCTGATGTCCCCTCAAAGAGGGGAAGCTTGTCCCTCCCTCCAGGGCTCCCCTCAAGGAGGTGGGACCAGGGCTCTGCCCAGACGCCCTGGCGCCAGCAAGGCCCTCCCCGCCTGCTGTCTCCAGCTCAGTCCTGAGGTAGACACCAGCCCCTGCCACTGCAGGTGCCACGCTGCTCCCACCATGATGAATGAGCCATTTGTGAGAGCAAGAATCCAGAAACATTAGGTATTACACAGTCATCAGACTGACCTAAGACCTGTGCAAGAGAAAAGCTGTTCCAACACGCGGACTATTTTTGTACTAGAATTTGCTAACTTGTAATATGGAATTTTCTTTGGCCAATAATCAGGATATCCCTATAAGTTACTTGGACATTGGTTACTTGTAGGAAATTTAAACTCTAATTATGACAGCTACACTGAAAAATAATTGTACTGAAATTAACTTGTCTATCTTCATTTGGTTTAATTTTTAAATGTTTGTAAAAAGAGACTTTTTTGGGGGATGGGGCAAAGGGGAGGGTAATTTCTTTTTTAAGTGTAAAATAAATGAAGACGCATTGGATACCAAACCCATCTGGCCTGGCCTGCCTTTGCCTTCCAGTTCTTTTTTTTTTTTTTTTTTTTTTTTTGGGTCCGGTCATGGGGCCTGAACTCTGGGCCTGGGCGCTGTCCCTCAGCTCTTTAGCTCAAGGCTAGCACTCTACCACTTGAGCCACAGCGCCACTTCCGGCTTTTTTCTCTTTGCTTATGTGGTGCTGAGGAATCGAACCCAGGGCCTCAGGCATGCAAGGCAAGCACTTTACCACTGAGCCACCTTCCCAGTCCCTGCCTTCCAGTTCTAACATCCACTGGCCTCCCCAAGGTGCCTCCTTGAGTGGACAGTGACAGAACATGGGAACCTGAGAGGACTTGTTCTATCATCTAATCCATCCTTCCCCAGCAGCTCATCTCCTTCTTCATTTGTTTTTCTTGGTACCAAAGGCTTGAATTCAGCCTTTCTTGCTCACAGCTGACACTCTATTATTTCAGTTTGACTCTATATGTCCAGCCTGGTTTTTCTGCTGGTTAACTAGAAATAAGAATCTCAAAGAATATTCTGCCAAGGCTGGTTTCCCAGTTTCCCAAGTAGCTTGGATGATAGGCATGAGCCACCAGCACCTCACTGCAAGTTCATCTGTCAATGTGGGGTCACTGCAGGCCCATCTGGAGCAAGCACAGGCCACCTTTGACATGCTCCTCAACCTAACTGGGTACCAACTCCCAATGACGCTGGACTGCTACTGGATGCTTGGCTGATTCCTAGGGAGAAAACAAACAAACAGTTAAGTATAAATATGTGGTGATACAGACCTGTAATCCCAGTACTAAAGAAGTAGAGGCAGGGCTGGGATGTAGCTCGGTGGCAAAGCACTTGCCTAGCAAGTGCAACGTTCTGGGTTCGATCGCCAGTACCAAAAAGGAAAAGACAAAAAAAATACAGTTTAGGGGCTGGGAAGGTGGCTCAGTGGTAGAGCGCTTGCCTTGCATGCATGAGGCCCTGGGTTCGATTCCTCAGCACCACATAAGCAAAAAGAAAAAAATCCAGAAGTGGCGCTGTGGTTCAAGTGGTAGAGTGCTAGCCTTGAGCTGAAGAGCTGAGGGACAGCACCCAGGCCCAGAGTTCAGGCCCCACAACCGGGCCCTCCCCCCCAAAAAAATACAGTTAAGTGGAGGCAGAAGGATTATGCATTTTGAGGATCAGCCTGGGCTACATAGACCCTGTCTTAATCAAGAAAGCTGGATCTTTCTTGGAAAGTAGATGAGACACAGATGCACATCAGAGGAGTCAGATTAACAGAAATTTCAGGGTGACCCTGGACCCCATCAGTGACATTCTGCCAGCTACATGTGATTCTACATCTAGCGGAGGAACGCTAGACAAGGCCGGGATGGCTCTGACTTCTGGCATTTCTCTTTCCCTGTCTAGATCCTGTCTCACTCCCTGCTTCATATGTCCCAGAGACTCAAATATGCATGTTCAACAATGCCAGTGTGCAGTGTGTGGTCCCTGGACAACAGTAGAAGCCAAGCTACCTAGAAACGTGTGTGTGTGTGTGTGTGTGTGTGTGTGTGTGTGTGTGTGCCAGTCCTAAGGCACTGTCCCTGAGTTTTTGTTTTTTTTTTGGCCAGTCCTGAGGCTTGAACTCAGGGTCTAGGCACTGTCCTTGAGCTAGCTGAAGGCTAGCTAGCACTCTACCACTTGAGCCACAGTGTCACTTCTGGCTTTTTCTGATTATGTGGTGCTGAGGAATCAAACCCAGGGCTTTGTGCATGATAGGCAAGCACTCTACCACTGAGCCACATTCCCAGCCCCCCTCAGCTTCTTGTGCTCAAAGCTGAGTGCTCTCCCACTTGAACCATAGTGCCACTTCTGACTTTTTCTGAGTAGTTTATTGCAGAGAAGAGTCATGTATTTTTCTGCCCAGGCTGGCTTCAAACCGTGATAGGATTACAGCGTGAGCCACCAGCACCCAGTGCTACCTGGAAACTTTCCTTGAAGGAATGGAAAACCGCCACTGTTAGTCAGGCAGCTCTTCTTTAGTAAAACATTGAGAACTTTTTGCAGCCACTACATGGCATATATATGGGTGTCGGGACTGGCAGGATTGACTAGGATCCAAAGCTGGAAGCACTTAGGTCTCATTTTTTCAAGAGATGAAGGGAAGAAAATGCTCATTATAAGGACAAATTGATGGGATAGGCAAAGTCCTGACCTCTGGAAAATGCTTCTTCAGCCAGGCACAGGTGGCTTATGCTTATAATCCTAGCAACTCAGGAAGCTGAGATCTGAAGATTGTGGTTCAAAGGCAGTCTGGGCAGAAAAGTCTGTCTGTGAGATTCTTCTTTCCAGTTAACCAGAAGGAAAAAAAAAAGAGCTGTGACTCAAGTGGTAGAGCACCAACCCTGAGGAGAAAAAAGGCTCAGGGACAGCACCCTCAATTCAAGCCCCTAGTCTGGCACCAGAATTAAAAAAAAAAAAAAAAAGTAGTTGTGCTCTCGATTGTAAGGAAAGAGAAACAAGAAGCCAAGATGGACTGATAGTTAAGATCCACCCTCCTGCCTGAAACAACTGTTGAACTAGTCACAATTCAGGGAACAATACTTCTAAGATACTCAGTCTCCGAAAAAGAGATAGGGTTGTACTGAAGCTCAGGGGTGCATTGCTTGCCTAGCATGTACAAGGCCCTGAGTTTGTTCCCAGCTCAAATAAAAGAAAAATAGACTTACAGAAGCCAGGGGTAGTGATGGAAAAAATTAAATGAATGAATTAATGAATGGTGTGCTTATTATCTGGAGAGTTTCCATAGCCCAAGAAAGGGAAGTGGAACTGAGAGGCCAGAGAAACCAGGGCAGCTATAGTTCCCGAACAAGAATTCTATAGCTGGGTGTACAGGCTCATGCCTGTAATCCTAGTATTCAAGAGGCATGGATTTGAAGGTAGGGATTCAAAGCCAGCCTGGACAGGAAAGTCCTTGAAAACTCTTTATCTCCAGTTAACCACTAAAAAGCTGGAAGTAGCCGGGCGCCGGTGGCTCACGCCTGTAATCCTAACTACTCAGGAGGCTGAGATCTGAGGATTGCGGTTCAAAGCCAGCCGGGGCAGGAAAGTCTGTGAGACTCTTATCTCAAATAAACCACTTGAAACCCGAAGTGGCACTGTGGCTCAAGAGGTAGAGGGCTCACTTTGAGCTGAAGAGCTGAGGGACAGCGCCCAAGCCCAGAGTTCAAGCCCCACGACCAACCAAAAAAATAAAAATAAAAAGCTAGAAGTAGATTTGTGGATCAAGTAATAAAATGCCAGGCTTGAGGGAAAAAATCTAAAGGATAGCATCCAGACCATGAGTTCTAAGTCTAAGTACTGGAAGAAAACAAAGTCCTAGGTTCTGTAGGGCAGACCGGAACATTCTGCTGTATGTTCAGTCAGCACTTTGCATTGAGGAAGCTACTATGTCAGAAAACAACTGCATTTGGGCAAAGAGATCATCTGGAAGGAACAGGTTATGTGGCTCTGCTCATCTGGGAATAGTGCCTTGCTCTTGGTAACCACATTGGAAAATAACCCATAACCTGTAAGCTTGGAGTAAATCCTTGGAAATGTTTGCCTCATACTAGAAAATAATGAAAGCACTATACAGGATCCATCTAACAGAAAAGAAAAGCAAGCCTCAGAGGACCCAAGTAACAATTATGCTGCAAAGGTCAAGGAGAATATGAATCTTCAGCATCCAACAAGGTACAGATTAGACAGTTAACTGTGCCCAGGAGCCAAAGATAAAGGCACATGGTAAAACAGGGAGGTGGCCCCAGATGAGGGTGAATAATTTCATATTCAATCCAAATTAACCAAGAATTTATACTCAGAATTAGCAGAGCCACGTGGACCTGCATGTGTCCCTGAGCATCTTCTGCTCACAGCTAGTGCTCTACTCTTTGAGCCACAGCACCACCTCTGACTTCCTGGTGGTTAATTGGAGATAGGAGTCTCACGGACTTTCCTACCTGGGCTGGCTTTGAACCTCCATCCTCAGATCTCAGCCTCCAGAGTAGCTAGGATTACAGGTGTGAGGCACAAGCACCCGGCCTATTTAACTTTTGTATGTGGGGAGTGGGGGTGGTGATGGGGCTTGAACTAGGCCTGGGTGCTGTCTCTGATCTCTTTTTTTGTTGTTGTTGTTGGTTGTGGAGCCTGAACTCTGGGCCTTAGTGCTATCCCTCAGCTCTTCAGCTCAAGGCTAGTGCTCTACCACTTGAGCCATAGTGCCACTTCCAGCTTTGTCTTCTTTTCTCTTTGGTCTGGTTCTGGGGCCTGAACTCTGGGCCTGGGTGCTGTCCCTCAGCTCTTCAGCTCAAGACTAGCACTGTACCACTTGAGCCACAGCGCCACTTCCTGCTTTTTTTTTTTTCCTTTTTGCTTATGTGGTGCTGAGGAATCAAACCCAGGGCCTCAGGCATGCAAGGCAAGTGCTCTACCACTGAGCTACCTTCCCAGCCCCTCCAGCTTTGTCTTTATATGTGGTGCTGGGGAATTGAACCCAGGGCCTCATGCATGCAAGGCAAGCACTATACCACTAAGCTACCTTCCCAGCCCTGTCCCTAAACTCTTTTGCTGAAGGCTAGCACTGTACCACGTTAAGCCACAGCTCTACTTCTGATTTTCTGGTGGCTAATTGGAGTTGAAAGAGTCTCACAGACTTTCCTGCCTGTGCTGGCTTTGAACTGCAGTCCTCAGATCTCAGCTTCCTGAGTAAGTAGGATAACAGGATTGAGACACCAGCACCTGGCCCCATTTAACTTTAATATAATAAATATAGGAGGCTGGGAAGGTGACTCATGCCTGTAATCCTAGCTACTCATGTGGCTGAGATCTGATGACTGAGGTTCAAAGTCATCCTGGAGAGGAAAGTCCATGAGAATCTTATCTCCAATAAACCACTCAGAAAACTAGAAGTGGTGTTGTGGCTCAAATG